CGGCCGGTACCGCCGCAACCGCTATGTCCCTGCATTTTAAGTCTGTAATATCTTCGAAAATATTCATTTAAATTACATGCTGTAAAGGGCCATATTGATCTATATTAAATGCACAATGTACTTAAAAGTACTTAATTGGATAAGAATTAATGCTGTATTGCTTAAAATCGCTTCGTAAATAAGTCATTATTTCTCATAAAAAGTAAAGGATAAAAATGGTTATTGTGGGTTATCCCTAAAAGATAGACATATACCATCCCGGAATTTTTTGTAGATCTTTTTAAGATGTACAATACTGTTGTAATTGCGTTTGCAATGTAAGCGCAAAAAATGTGTTTATTTACGACATCACATTAGAAACCTCTAAAATTACCAGTGTTTCTCTACTATATTATGCATGTATTATACAAATAAACCTTCCTCTTGAATCACTCTATCTATTAAAAAAAATCGCATTAAAATCCGTTGCGTAGTTTTAAAGATCTAAACATACATAGGGACAGGCAGCGGGAAGCGACTTCGTTTTATACTATGTAGTGAAGTACATAATCAAAATGAAATCATTAAAAGGCCAATTTAAAGTCTAGGTTCAGTTTTAGGTTCCATATGGACCCTATTCTAATTGAAAATTGGTGATTCTCATAGTGGGAGGGTCGCGGAGAAATTGATTACGGGCAGATACTTAACCAAAGGGGGGATGCCGAAGGAAACTTCCCCCCTCCAATATCGACTCAGTTGGCTTATGTTAAACATAGACTTCTTTCAAAATTTCGTGTAAAAAATCCTGTACGTAAAACTGCTTGAGAAACTCGAAGAGTATTCAACCTATGGGTTGTAATAAAATCACAAAAAGGCGTAGGGTCCATAAAAATAATATCGGTCCTTACACTGGAAGCTGGCGGAAATTTTAAAATGGTGTGGATGCGCGGGGGCAAAAGTAGGCAGTTTTAGGTATAACGATTGCGGCCCCTATCAGGGGCGTAGATTAAATATTTAAAAATAGGGATCAGTGAGCAAGTAATAGACATACAAACAAAAAAAACTAATTGTTGATGTTGGTGACAGTGATAGAGATTCCCATGATGACAGTGAATGAGAAATCTAACCATAAAACAAAAACAATAGGTTAATTTTTTCTTTTTTATAAGTTATGTTTTTACATTATTTTCTAGTACGCTACTGTCCTATCTGTATTAATACTATAATTTACGCCTACTAAAAGCTTATTTGTGTATCGGTTCCAAGTGACTTACCCAAATAGGTCATAAATGGG